ATGCACATCATCTCTGATGAAATTCAGAATACAAGAGAGCAGTGAGAGCTGATAATCTAATTAAATAAATCTTTGAGTATTCAATAGATTTGATTAATAAGTCTGATCAATAAACATTCTTTAGAAAAGGTATGAAATAGAAGTCTATTATAGATCTAATCTTCATGTCACAAAATCTAATGAAAAGAAGACTTGTAAACTGGTTTATTAATTCAAATGAGACATCAGAATCAGATCATGAGATTATTTAATTTAATATTGAACTGAGTGAAAAATAAATGAGTGAAAATCCTCTTCTCTCTAATCAGTATAACTTTGAAAAAGCTGATTGAAAAGCAGTTAAAGAAAGTATAAAACTGTTAAAATCTGAAAGATAGAATGAGCTATATTGAAATTCTGATCAAGATATCTCAAATGAAATGCTTGAGAATAGAGTGAAGCTTATTACATCTATTATTCTAACAAGTGTTAGAGATAATATTTCAAAGAGAAAATCTTCTAAGTATTTAAAATCTTGATGAAATGAGAATATCTCATCTAAAAGAAAAGAATTAGCTACTGCTAGAAGAGATTAAAAGAATGATATAATATTTAATAAAGAGTTCAAAGCTGTCAGAAATGAATATTTTTCAGATATTAAAAGAGCTAAAACAGACTGCTGAAATAAATTTCTTGAAGAAGTATAAGAGAAGAAAGTTTTTAAAGCTTTTAACTATACTAAAACAAGAAGTGTAGCAAAACTTTCAGTCTTAGAATATAAGTTTCAGAATGAATCATATACAGCAAACTCTTTTAAGAAAAAATGTCAAGCTTTTATAAGAATTCTCTTTCAGAACTCACCAGATTCAGATTCAGATTCAGAGAAAGAGAATATATCACTTCTCAACTACATTAATGAAAATGACTGAGAATGACCTGCTCTTATATAAGATGAATTAGAGTCAGTTATCTTCTCAAGTTCTGTTAAAACTGCTGCAGATTCTGATTCAATTAATTACTTAATTATATAAAATACATATTTCTACTTAAAGAATGAATATTTTAAGCTCTTTTTCAATCTCTTAAAAAATGAATATTATTCTGAATACTGAAGAGAAGTCTGTGAAGTGATTCTTGCAAAGCCTAATAGAAAAACTTCAATTTCTAAGTGATATAGAGTAATATCTCTATTGAACTGTCTAGAAAAGGTTTTAGAAAAGATAATAGCTACTTAACTATCTTTTATAAGCTCTATAAGTAATTCTCTTTTATTCAGTGAATAAATAAAAGATAGAAAACAGTATTTTATAATTAACACTGTTCTCTCAGGTATTCATAATATTCAAATAACAAAGTATGGGAGTCTGGTCTCAACTGCAGTTTTTATTGATATAAAAGAAGCATTTGATTATGTTTCAAAGTCAAAGTTAATTCAGATATTGAAGATATTAAAACTGCTACTTTCTCTAATAAAATGAATTAACTGTTTTATATCTAAAAGAATTATACAACTCTTCTTTGATGAAATGAAATAAGATAAGACTGAGATAAAAATAGAAGTATCACAGAGATCTTCAATCTCACTCATTTTATTTACAATATACACTGTATATCTATTCAAAAATAGAAATATGAGAATAGTATGATCTCTGAGTTATATGAATGATATTGATCTAGTCTGCAGCTTAAAAACTATTAAAGAGAATTTGAAAGTAATTGAAGAAGCTGCAAAGAAAATCTTTGTTAGAGCAGATATCAATTAAATTCAATTTAATATGAATAAAACTGAGTTAATTCATTTCTTTTCTAGATTCAATGAGAAACAACTATCTCTAACTCTTTTAAATAGAGAGATTAAACTCAGTGTAAATGTTAAATAATTAGAAGTATGATTAAACTTCAAGTTGAATTTTAAATATCACATTTAACAAAGAACTGTCAAGGCAGAAAGACTATTGAACAACATAATCAGACTATTAAATACAGAGAGAGATCTATTCTTCCAGACTATGAGACAGTTATATATAGTCTGTATTACATCAGTAGCTGATTATGAAGTTTAAGTTTGATGAAATAATTAAGAGAATTTCACTGAACTCTTTCAAAGTCTGTAAAACAGAGTCTTGAGAAGAATTCTGAGAGTATTCAAATCATCTTCTATTAAAGTAATGAAAATTGAAGCTTCAATTTCTTCTTCTGCTATTAGATTTGAAAAGGCCTGCATGAACTATGCTCTGAGAGTTGTAAAGATGAGCTCAAATTATATAATTAGAGAAAGAGTCTCTTCTTCATTTTTATCAATTAACTCTGGAAATGAACTGAATTGAAATAGATTTCTTGATTGAAATGAAAATAATTCTTCAAAGAAAATATCTTCTCAACTGTACAGACTATGCTCTCTGATTAAAAATCAATTTTCTTCTTTAAATATTGAAAAAGTTGATTATGAGAAGTTATCTCTCTGAAGAGAAAAGCTTGAATCTCTTATAGACTTATAAATAAGTGAACTATCAAAAGAGAAAGAATATAAACAGCATTTGAAGAGAATTTCTATAATCAATATAAAAGACTCTATTCTGATTTATTCAGATGACTCAAAAAATGAGAACTTGAATAGATTAGATACAGGCATTGCTTATACTGAAGATAATATTAATTTTATCTCAGATTTCTGAAATCTAGACTGTGAATGTGAAGTCTTTGATGCTGAACTATTTATAATAGTGAAAGCTTTCAAACTCATTGAAATAAAATGTCATAAAAGAGAAAATTGTTTGAAAGAGACATGAATATTCTCTGATAGTCAAGCTGCTTTAAAAAGACTTAGAAATAGTCAGATATATAATGATCAAATGAATCTTGAACTGATCTTAAACTCTGTTTTGAAAATTCAAAAGACAAGAATATCAAAGCTGATAATTCATCTACACTAAGTTTCTACTCATATGAATATTCATGACAATGAATTGACTGATTCAGCTGTAAAAAAGAGTGCAGAATTAAGCAGATTTATTCAAAAAATTATGTTCTAATCTTTTATAAAGAGAAAAATAAAAGAATCTTGTTTAGACAAGTGAAATGAAAGCTGGCAGAAATAAATGAAGAGTATATATTATTCAAAATTTGAAACAAAACCCAAGTGAAAATCTTGTTCAATTAAATATAAAAAGAAAATATTCTCATCTATAATACAGCTGAAACTAGAATATGACTATTTCAAATCTTATATACAAAGATTTGATGATAGATTTGACTCAATAGAATGCTCATTCTGTAATACAAATGAGAATTCTGAGTATATTGTAATACACTGTGCATTATACAATAGTCTCAGAGTCAGATTGAAAGAGAAGTATAATCTAAATTAATTAAATATAAGATTCTTATTCTCAACTGAGACAGGAATTAAATACTTAATAGACTTTCTATCAGAAACTCAAGCAGCTATAAGAAAATGACTAAATTCAGAATTATCTGAATATGAAGAGGAGGAAATCAATCAGATATAGTCTGTTAAAACAGCTATATACTATCTTTTAATACTTTGTTTTATTACAGTCTTTTCTTACTTTATCTTTTTCTTTCAATTTCTTTCTGTCTATCTATTTAATGTGTCTATCTTTAAGACTGTGTTCTTTTTTCCTTTGTCATGATATTGTCAAATGATTTCAAAGTATCAGAAGATGTTAAAACACTGTAATTTGTAAACAGTTTTTGTATTCTGAGCTGGAATTTTCTGATTTTGCATATCTGAAATTGATGAATGTATAATAGTTAACTTTAGAGATATAGGAAAAACCCTGAGAACTAAAAGTTCTCAGATAGATGTCATAGTCTCTAACTGCATACATCTATAATTGAAGAATAATAATAATAATCTTCTTATAATGAGATGAAAGCTCAGCTATCTTAGCTGAACTGAATATCTCTGTAAGATCTTGATATTTCTCTGATATCTGAAGCTCAGTTTTTATAACTGTGAAGTTCTCAGACATTTATAAAGTTATTATATAGATGAGCTTATCTTCTCTAATTAACTCTATAGTATTAACTAATTTTATCTTTATAAGTAAGTCTGTCAACACTGATCAGAAGTATAAACCTGACTTATAGATAGCTATATACAGATTATATCTTTAAAGTTATATAAGTCTTAAGTATATATTATCTGTGATGTCTGTAATAATCATAGTTTTTATAAATCTTCTTCAAGTTTTAGAGAGATCTTGTAATTTAAAGATAACTCTTATAAGTCTCTTAGCTCTTAGCTCTGAGTTCTCACATTCTGCTTATTATAAGAGCAGATTCTCAGTTTTCATTATTCAGCTTATTCACTCTGTGAGCTTTAGAGACACTACAGTAATCTGAGATTCTGAGTTTATTAATACTTTCTATACTTATAAGATAGTAGTATTACAGTATAGTCTCTCTCTATAAGTATGTATTTTCATTGAGAGAGTAACAGATTCAGATATTATCTTCAGAACTTTTAAAAAGACTGTTACTAACTCTGTCTATAACTTCTTAAATTTCTATTTTAATTTATTCAGATAGTTTGTACAAAGATATTCTGATTTAGAATAAATAAAGCAGAGACTCTTTTTCTTAGTCTTTCTATTATATACTTTATTTATAGAAGCTTAGAAAGCTCTCTCTCTCTGCTCAGCAGTCAGATATAAATCTCTCTATATCTTATTATCTTTTTCTGATAAATCTGTTCTCTGTTATTCTGACTCTTATAGAGCTGAATAGTGATCTACTCTTCACAGATCTATAACTCTCACAGTAATCTATAAATGATTAATAAGAGTTATCAGTTTCTTCAGAGTTAAGAACTTAGAGTTTTACTTAATAAGCTTATTCTACATATCTTTATTCAGCTTCTTTATAAATATCATTATTCAGATCTTGTTTCAGAACTCTGTTTTCACAGATCTTAATTTATGTTATAATTTTATAAAGTACTGTAAGTAGTTTTTATCAGATTTCTCATCTCTTTTTCTAATCTTAATAATTACAGCTCAGATGTTCTCTGTTCCCATCTTCAAGATCAGACTGTCGAACCGCTCCACCACGAACTCGCTCGATTTTTCGAATAAGAACCCGCCGATAGATCCATCGAAAAGCCCTCGATCATACGAGCATTTTGACCCCATCGCCGACCGCATACCCCGTGTGGTGGTGGAGTTATCCAGCCAAACGTGAACCGGACGTTGTTCGAAGCTCCTGTGTGGGATTATCCCCCGTTCTCCCCTACCACACCACAACCCCGGGCCAGAGTGCCATACAAATTGTAAGGTGAAGTGACCTAGCCATATGCACCAATCTTCTCGATTTTGGAAGATCCCCGACCTGTAGTTGTGGAGATATCCGAGGAGCGACCTCCGCGAAAACCCTGTCCATCTTTGATGTTCCAAAACACCAACGCCAAGTCTCACCCTCGTACCGCCCTTCCCAATCTGGCCCATCCCCGGCAGAAAAATACAAAAAGATACCTCGGCGATAATATCAAGCACATAATCAATGGACTCTTCTGAAGTGCAACCTCCACGGTCCGCCGCCAGTGTATCTAGACTTCAACACCAAGTCTCACCCCTGTACTACCCCTCTCAATCTGGCCCATCCCCAGCAGAACGATACAAAAAGATACCTCGGCAACAGCATTCAATACATAATCAGTGGACAATGAGTCAACAGCATATCAACAACTATAAAATCAGTATACTTCAAGATCTGACTGAGCCTTTGATCCCTGCACAGTGAGATATATTAAATCTAGTTTTAATATCTCAATATTCAATAGATTCTGCAAGGGATTGAGAACAGCAACACTAGGTTTCTATTGAATTTGAGAATTAACTCTATATTGATATAATCATTGACAAAGTCTTCTATTTTGAGATATAAATAACCAGTTCCTCTACATCCCGCTGACAATAGTTATATTATTATATAGAAACAGACTTATATTCTCTATAATATCAAGACTCTGAAGAGGGAAAGTCTTGATAGAGAGTATACAGTAGTGCATATCTTAGCAGTTTCTATCTCATTCTTCTACAGCAGTTAATGCAAAAAAAAGATCTTAGAAATAGTTTTTTACTTCTCTTGAAAAAGTAAGGTGTTTTTCTCTGAGTTTTACACAATATTCTTACAAAGAATTAAAAACAGAGTTGTTTTCTGTCATAATTTCATATTCTTTTAAGTAAGAATTACTTTTTCAGTGGCTGAAGAGCTTTCATTAATACTTAATTCTTTTTTACACTCTTTATTAACTGATTTGAGTTGCACACTTGTTGTGTGAGAAGAATTGAATGATTTAGAATAAAATTGAATAGTTTTAATCAATTTCTCTGCAAAAAATTGATTTATTTTTTGTCAGTTTTTCTCTTAAAAACTGTCATATCATCTGATTTATTATTAATTGATATCATACTTTTTCTCACTATATTCCAAGAAAGAGATTGTAAAGATTTTATTGATTTATCTTAAAAATCAATTTTAGTTTATTAGATTCTCTTCAAAAATCTAACCTAGTTACTGAACTAGTGTGAAAAAAATCAGGTGTTTTATACACAAAAGTCTTTTATTCTTCTTTTGAAACAGTCTGACCAACTTTTCAATTGAAAACAGACTTAGAAATATCTCAATTGAAACAGTCTGATCAACTTTTCATTGAGTGAAAACAATGAGTTCAAAAATACACTCAGTTGATGTGGAAAAAGATGCTTTCTCAAATACTATTTCTGAGATTGAAATTCTGAAGAGAAGAAAGAAAGAAGAAATAGAGAAACAACAAGTTCTTGAAATACAGGAACTTGAAAAAGCAAGCAAGATTCTTGAAAAGCAGTATCTGAGTGAGATGAATGAAGAAGTTCTGTTAATTCTTCATACTCAGGCTAGACAACTACAGAAGATGATCAAGTTCAAACTTGGAATCTCAAACACAGTTCAAAAAACCTTGAAAATTTCTAGTACAATCACTGACTCTTCATCTTACTCTTCTTCTTTCTTTCTTTCTACTTCTTCTTCTTCTTTGAATCAGAAGAAAACATATGCTTAAGTAGCTGAATCTGCTGTCTCTAAACCTGCTGTCTCAAAACCTGCTCAAAATCCTGAGAAAACTGAGAAGAATACTGCTCATGTCTCTATTCATAGAAAAGTGGAAAAGAAAATGTAAAAAGAGAAAAACTTCCAAATCTTCAGAAATAGAAGACTTATTCTCAAAGTCTCAAATCAGGACATTCTGCAAAGAAACAAGCTAAACTCAAATCTCATTTTCAGAATCAGAAATGAAATTAATCAGCAGTTCTTTTCTCAGTTGATGACTGATATTGAAGTTCAAAAATCAGTTATAGCTTCAATTGAGTCATCATTCTTTGAAAACTTCATCATTCTGACTACAATGCCTGAATTCAGTGCTGAATTCCTTATTCAGAATGAGAATCTCTGAAAGTCAGCAGTAGAATCTTTGCTAAACACAATAATTCTATCTGAAAGAGATGAAAAGTGAGACAAATTCATTCTTCATGATATTTCAGTTGAAATTTTTGACTGTGAAGAAGGAATGCTACTTCTCAAAAATGAATTGAAAGAATACAACTTCATTCAACTGAGAAAGAAGTCTGTATGACTAAATTCAATTGAGTTCAGACAAAGCAGGAGAAATGTCTCTGTTCTAGTATATACAAAAACACTTGAACAGTCAAAGATCTCTGAAGTAAGAGTAGCAGATTTGAAAATGAGAGTTCATGAATACAAAGACTTGAGAATCACTATATTATCAACCAAAGTCAACAACCGCTCCACCATGAACTCGCTTGATTTTTTGAATAAGAACCCGCCAATAGATCCATCAAAAAGCCCTCGATCATATGAGCATTTTGACCCCATCGCCGACCGCATACCCCGTGTGGTGGTGGAGTTATCCAGCCAAATGTGAACCGGATGTTGTTCGAAGCTCCTGTGTGGGATTATCCCCTGTTCTCCCCTACCACACCACAACCCCGGGCCAGAGTGCCATACAAATTGTAAGGTGAAGTGACCTAGTCATATGCACCAATCTTCTCGATTTTGGAAGACCCCTGACCTGTAGTTGTGGAGATATCCGAGGAGCGACCTCCGCGAAAACCCTGTCCATCTTTGATGTTCCAAAACACCAACGCCAAGTCTCACCCTCGTACCGCCCTTCCCAATCTGGCCCATCCCCGGCAGAAAAATACAAAAAGATACCTCAGTGATAATATCAAGCACATAATCAATGAACTCTTCTGAAGTGCAATCTCCACAGTCCGCCGCCAGTGTATCTAGACTTCAACATCAAGTCTCACCCCTGTACTACCTCTCTCAATCTGGCCCATCCCCAGCAGAATGATACAAAAAGATACCTTGGCAACAGTATTCAATACATAATCAGTGAACAATGAGTCAACAGCATATCAACAACTATAAAATCAGTATATCTCAAGATCTGACTGAGCCTTTGATCCCTGCACAGTGAGATATATTAAATCTAGTTTTAATACCTCAATATTCAATAGATTCTGCAAGAGATTGAGAACAGCAACACTAGGTTTCTATTGAATTTGAGAATTAACTCTATATTGATATAATCATTGACAAAGTCTTCTATTTTGAGATATAAATAATCAGTTCCTCTACATCCCACTGGCAATATTTATATTATCATATAGAAACAGACTTATATTCTCTATAATATCAAGACTCTGAAGAGAGAAAGTCTTGATAGAGAATATACAGTAGTGCATATCTTAGCAGTTTCTATCTCATTCTTCTGCAGCAGTTAATGCAAAAAAAAAAAGATCTTAGAAATAGTTTTTTACTTCTCTTGAAAAAGTAAGATGTTTTTCTCTGGGTTTTACACAATATTCTTACAAAGAATTAAAAACAGAGTTGTTTTCTGTCATAATTTCATATTCTTTTAAGTAAGAATTACTATTTCAGTGACTGAAGAGCTTTCATTAATACTTAATTCTTTTTTACACTCTTTATTAACTGATTTGAGTTGCACACTTGTTGTGTGAGGAGAATTGAATGATTTAGAATAAAATTGAATAGTTTTAATCAATTTCTCTGCAAAAAATTGATTTATTTTTTGTCAGTTTTTCTCTCAAAAACTGTTATATTATCTGATTTATTATCAATTGATATCATACTTTTTCTCACTGTATTCTAAGAAAGAGATTGTAAAGATTTTATTAATTTATCTTAAAAATCAATTTTAGTTTATTAGATTCTCTTGAAAAATCTAACCTAGTTACTGAACTAGTGTGAAAAAAATCAGGTGTTTTATATATAAAAGTCTTTTATTCTTCTTTTGAAACAGTCTGACCAACTTTTCAATTGAAAACAGACTTAGAAATATCTCAATTGAAACAGTCTGATCAACTTTTCATTGAGTGAAAACAATGAGTTCAAAAATACACTCAGTTGATGTGAAAAAAGATGCTTTCTCAAATACTATTCCTGAGATTGAAATTCTGAAGAGAAGAAAGAAAGAAGAAATAGAGAAATAATAAGTTCTTGAAATACAGGAACTTGAAAAAGTAAGCAAGATTCTTGAAAAGCAGTGTCTGAGTGAGATGAATGAAGAAGTTCTGTTAATTCTTCATGCTCAGGTCAGACAACTACAGAAGATGATCAAGTTCAAACTTGAAATCTCAAACATAGTTCAAAAAACCTTGAAAATTCCTAGTACAATCACTGACTCTTCATCTTACTCTTCTTCTTCCTTTCTTTCTACTTCTTCTTCTTCTTTGAATCAGAAGAAAACATATGCTCAAGCAGCTGAATCTGCTGTCTCTAAATCTGCTGTCTCAAAATCTGCTCAAAATTCTGAGAAAACTGAGAAGAATACTGCTCATGCCTCTATTCATAGAAAAGTGAAAAAGAAAATGTAAAAAGAGAAAAACTTCCAAATCTCTAGAAATAGAAGACTCATTCTCAAAGTCTCAAATCAGGACATTCTGCAAAGAAACAAGCTAAACTCAAATCTCATTTTCAGAATCAGAAATGAAATTAATCAGCAGTTCTTTTCTCAGTTGATGACTGATATTGAAGTTCAAAAACCAGTTATAGCTTCAATTGAGTCATTATTCTTTGAAAACTCTATTATTCTGACTACAATGCCTGAATTCAGTGCTGAATTCCTTATTCAGAATGAGAATCTCTGAAAGTCAGCAGTAGAATCATTGCTAAACACAACAATTCTATCTGAAAGAGATGAAAAGTGGGACAAATTCATTCTTCATGATATTTCAGTTGAAATTTTTGACTGTGAAGAAGGAATGCTACTTCTCAAAAATGAATTGAAAGAATACAACTTCATTCAACTGAGAAAGAAGTCTGTATGACTAAATTCAATTGAGTTCAGACAAAGCAGAAGAAATGCCTCTGTTCTAGTATATACAAAAACACTTGAACAGTCAAAGATCTCTGAAGTAAGAGT